CGCCGCGTCTTTGCAGTATTTCGCTCTCTTCGGTTTCGCTCCTCCCGCCGCCCCGCGGCATCCCTGGTGTGGACGATTTTTTTCGCGGTATCCGCGGCGGGATATGGCTGGATATGGCTGGATACCGGGAGATACCGGGAGATGCCAGGAGATACACGTGGATATGATGAGATACGGAGCCCCCACGATGTGTTCACGACAACGTCCGTGAAGCTAATCGGACGCGACGGGCGAAGCTTCGCGCTTCGACCGGCCGTGATCTGCCGTGCGGCTAAGCGCTCGATTCCCATCGTCGTCATCGTCGATGAAGCACCGCAAGGACAGCCTTGATCGCCGACCAGGAGGATGGTCACCTGCAGCCGGCGGCCTCAGTCGGTCGGGGGGGAGCGGGGGGGCAGGCTCAGTGCTCAAACTTTACCGGTATGAGACTGGTATTTGGCGATATTTTGATTAGTTTTGGAGTGGTATGGTATAGTGGTATGCGAAAGTGGTATGCGGGGTTTTCAGTAGTTGTAGCGGCTGTCGGTGTGGTCCCGGGGGCGAAACCATGCAAAAGTGCGGGTATTGCCCGGGTATACCCGGGTTTTTTCAGGTATACCCGCAAAATACCCGGTATTTTGCCGATTTTGCCGATTTTGCCACCAAGAAGGCACTCCGACTCGCTTTGATTTCCGTGAGGCAACTGGTATCCCGTACCACTTTTTGATTAGTGCAGGCCTTGGGTTTGATTAGCCAAAAACTCCCATACCGGTAAAGTTTGCACACTGGGCAGGCTGGGCCGCTCGCGGGCGCACAGGAATCCGGCGCTCGCGAGGGAGGCGCTCGATGCTCGCGCTCTGCGGCCGGAGCGCGGAGAGGCCGGGCTGCTCGGCGTGAGGGGCAGGCGGGCAGGATATGGCGGGATATGGCGGGATATGGTCAGATATGGTCAGATATGGTCAGATATGGTCAGATATGGTCAGATATGGTCAGATATGGAGAGATACATCAAGATACCGCAAAAAAATCGTCCGCACTAGGGCTCGCGGCGCTCAGCTCGGATCGCCGCGCGCGGCTGACCAAGCTCTACTACTAGATGACGTCCACAAACGATGATGATCATGTGGCATTGTCTCATTCATGGATCTCCCTCAGCTGCCGAGCGCCCGAGCCCGAAGGAGGTGGGCGTGGGAAGGTGGGGTGGTCCTCACCCCGGCGGCCCGCGCACGCACGCCGTCTGAGCCTAGCGCAGCGCGAACTCGCTCTGGGCCTAGCGCAGCGCGAGATTTGCGCAGCAACCCGGCCGGGCAAAAAAAAACTTGGCGCCTGTGCGGCATGGACCTCTACAGGCGAGTGAGCGAGCCAAGCAGCGACGGCCGGGCAGGGGTGGGCGGCGCTTCCTCGGGCGCGGCAGCGGCAGCTGTGGACGCGCCGCTGCTCGGCCAGCGCGTCGTGCTCGGCGGGCTCTCTTCCCGCCCCGAGCTGAACGGGCAACGGGGCGTGGCGCAGAGCTTCGAGGGCGGGCGGTACGCTGTGGCGCTCGAGGGCGGCGGCGAGAGCGTGCGGGTGCGGCCGGGTAATCTGTCACCGGCGGTGTCGAGCAGTGCCGCGGCAGCCTCCGAAGCGGTCATCGCAGCAGCGGAGAGTGGCGAGGAGGAGGCGGTGCTGGCGTGGCTCGACAGTGGCGGGCAGGCCGACGCGGTTTGCGAGAGACGAGGCGTGAGCGGCCTCACGCTGCTGATGGGCGCCGCCCACCACGGCCACGAGCGGGTGGTCGAGCTGCTGCTGCGGCGCGGCGCTGAGGTCAACCTGCAGGGCAGCGTCGGCGGCACCGCGCTGATGTGCGCCGCCGGCAGCGGCCACGAGCGGGTGGTCGAGCTGCTGCTGCAGCGCGGCGCGGAGGTCAACACGCAGGACAACGACGGCGACACCGCGCTGATGGGCGCCGCCTTCTTCAACCGCCCCGCCGTCGTGCGGCGCTTGCTGCGGGCGGGCGCAGACACGGCGGCGCGCGGTACGAGCGGCAAGACGGCGCCGCAGCTGGCCAAGGAGAAGGGCCACGCCGAGTGCGTCGAGGCCTTCAGGCAGCACGTCAAGGAGGCGGTCGTTGCGGGACGGCCCACTGCGGCGGCAGTGGGCGGCAGAGGCGCAGGCGGCGCTTCCTCCGGCGGCGTTTCCTCGGCTGGATCGAGAGACGCGAAGACGCTATCTCCAGCGGTGGCGGGGCGGGCGTCGAGCGGTGTCGTGGCAGTCTCCGATGCGGTCGTGGCAGCGGTGGAGCGTGGCGAGGAGGAGGCGGTGCTGGCGTGGCTCGACAGTGGCGGGCGGGTCGACGCGACGTACGAGAGAGACAAGGAGAGCGGCCTCACGCTGCTGATGGGCGCCGCCACCAACGGCCACGAGCGGGTGGTCGAGCTGCTGCTGCGGCGCGGGGCGAAGGTCAACCTGCAGGACAGCGACGGCGAAACCGCGCTGATGTGGGCCGCCAGCCAAGGCCACGAGCGGGTGGTCGAGCTGCTGCTGCAGCACGGCGCGAAGTTCGACCTACAGAACAGCGTCGGCAGCACCGCGCTGACGTACGCCGCCAGCCAAGGCCACGAGCGGGTGGTCGAGCTGCTGCTGCAGCACGGCGCGAAGTTCGACCTGCAGGACAGCAACGGTTTGACCGCCCTGATGATCGCCGCCCTCTTCAACCACCCCGCCGTCGTGCGGCGCTTGCTGCGGGCGGGCTCTGACACGGCGGCGCGCAGTGCGAACGGCAAGACGGCGCTGCAGCTGGCCAAGGAGAAGGGCCACGCCGCATGCGTGCGCGCCCTCGAGGAGCATGCGGCGGCGGAGGCGGCGGCTGAGAAGGCGGCGAAGGAGGCGGCGTGGGTTGCGGGGGCGGAGGCGAGGGAGGCGGAGAGAGCGGCGGCAGAGGCGACTGCGGCGCGGCATGCCGAGGCGCTGCTGGCGGAGGAGGAGGCGGAGAAGGAGGAGCGCGCCAAGGAGAGCAAGAAGGGCAAGAAGAAGAAGAAGAAGAGCGGCGGCGGCGAGGCAGACAACGCGGCGCCTGGCCCCAGCGCCACCGCCGCATCGCCGCCGCTAGCCGCGCCGCCAGCCCCATCTCCTCCGCCCGCCAACGCAGCCGCCATCGCTGCGGCGGACGAGGCGCTGCAGCAGGCCGTGGCCGCTGGCTCGTACGTGGGCGTGGCCAGCGCGCTGGAGGCGTGCAGCGGCCTCGCGAGCCCGGCCGTGCTGGCGGCGGCGAGGCGCGTGCGCGACAAGCTCAAGGAGGCGCGGAGGAAGGACAGCCAGCGGCTGCGCAAGGCGCATGGCGCGGCGATGGGCGCGCTCAAGTCGCTCGACACCGCAGACAGTTCCTCCGCGCTCCGAGCGGGCATCGCCGCCGCCAGGCCGCACGTGGGCGCGCTGCCTGCCTTGGCCGAGGAGGTGAGCGCGGCGGAGTTGAAGCTGGAAACTCTGTCTGTCGCCGAGCCGGCCGCGGCGGAAGAGGCGGCTGCCGCTCGGCCCATCGAGCTAGCCCTGTCGGACCTCACCGCGGCTACCGACGGGTTTGCGGATGGCAAGCTGATTGGCAGCGGCGGCTTCAGCCGCGTCTACGAGGCGTCGGCCGACCTCCACCTCCACCTCGCCGCGCCTCCACGGCTGCGCCACTTGCCGCTCGTCGTCAAGCGGGCAAAGTCGGGCCAGTCGGGCGGCTTGTCACGGGCGGAGCTCGAGGTGAAGCTGCTCAAGGCGGTGAGCCACCCGCACCTGCTGCCGCTGCTCGGCTACTGCCTCTCGCCCGACGGCGTCTGCCTCCTCTCGCCGCTGATGCGCGGCGGCTCGCTCGAGGCGCGGCTGCGCATCTCAGATCCCGACCGCGCTGCGCAGCTTCGGCGGCTGGGCATGGAAGAGCCGCCGAGGCCGCTGATGTGGCGGCAGCGCGTTCGCATTGCTTGCGAGGCGACCGAGGCGCTCGTCTACCTCCACTCGAAGGGCATCGTGCACCGCGACGTCAAGCCGGACAACATCTTGCTCGACGAGGAGCTGACCGCAGTGCTCGCCGACACGGGCTTCGCCAAGGACCAGCGTCCCGACGCCTCTGTCCGCCTCCGCTCGACTGCTCTCTACATGTCCACTGGCTACCTCTGCCCCTCCATCTCCAAGGGGGGCGAGTACTCGAGCAAGACAGACGGCTACGCCATCGGCATCACCCTCCTCGTCTGCCTCACCAACCGGTCCGAGGTGCAGCTCACCGACCGGTGCGAGGAGGAGTTTGACGGACTCTGGACCAACATCGACGCGTCCCAGATCGCAGATGCGGCGGCGGGGTGGCCTGAGATCGCGGCGCGCGCTGTCAAGGACCTCGCCAAGGCGGGAGACGGGCAGAAGAGCCTCTGCCACGACAGCTTGCGCAACCGCTGCACGCTACCCGAGGCTCTCACGACGCTCCGGGGACTGCTGTCTGGCGCAGAGGGCGGGGCGGGGGTGGAGGAGGCTGCGCCGGCACCTGGAGACGAGGCCGCTGCGGCAGCCGCCCGCACCACCTGGTACGAGCCTTCGCCGCTCTCAGTGCAGGTGCGCGGCATGCGCACGGGCGACGCGCAGGCGCGCATCCAGGGCAACATGCTGCTCGCCTTCAACACGCTGATGCCGCGCCTCGACGCCGTCTACGCCTCGCGCTCTGCGGCGGCGCCCGACGGCTTCGATGAGCGCATCAACTTTTGGCACCGCGAGTGCGGCTTGCCGACCGAGCTGCGGAGCCAGCTGCACTCGCTGCGCATCTGGGCGAACGCGGCGAGGCACCACGACGCGGCGAGGTGGAGGAGGGACGGGCCGCGCAGCGAGGGGGAGGCGTCGCGGCTCGTGGCCGCGGTGACGGAGGCGATCGAGGAACTCGAGGGGTAATACTTGAGGGGTAATACTTGTGTACGAAGTACGAGACTCGAGGTAGAGGCTAGAGCTAGGTACCCATACGAGTCCAAGGTGGGTTCATTTAAATAATTAAACGTTTTGCTTCATCTTCGCGCGTCGCTCCCTTGCTCGGCTGGCGCTCGCAAAGTGGTCCCGATGCTGCTCACGGAGAATAGAAGCTGCAAGCGGCCGAGGCCCGACTTCGTTCGGCAGGGATCTCGGCCTCACGCGCTCAGCCGCGTGCCCAGCTGCCCGTTTGTGACTGCAAAGCCCGAGGCGGAGCGCAGCTCCGACTGCGCCGCCTGGTTCGCGGCGCACGACGGCGACGGCGACGGCCGGCTCACGCCGGACGAGTTCCGCGGGCTGCTCCTCTCGCTCGGCAGCGAGGCGGAGAAGCTGCATCCCAAGTATGTGGAGCACGTCCTGGCGCAGACGGCGAGGGACGCGGACGGGTGCGTGAGCCTCAGCGAGGTGCACGGGTCGCTCCTCGCCATGGACAAGGCGCTGCGCGCTCCGCGCCGGGCCTCACGGTGGACGGGCGCCGACCTGCGTGCCTCTCGCGTCGCCGGCCGGTCGGCCGTCACTCTGCCCGAGGTGGCGACCCAGAGCCACTCCATTGGGCAGGGCGAGCGGCGGCACACCTTCGTGCTCCCGACCCGGTACACCAGCGTGGGCGCGGTCGGCGAAGGGGCGTACGGCGTCATCGCCACGGCGGTGGACACGGCCGCGCCCGGCGGGCGGCGCTCGGTGGCGATCAAGCGCGTCCGGCCCGCCGAGGACGCGCTGCAGCTGCGCTCCTGTGCGCCTTTTGCCAAGAAAGGGGCGCGGTCGACGGCCTCGGCGCCGCGCTCACGGTACTCGGCGCCAGCCGTAGGCCTGCGAGAGCTCGCCGTGCTGCGCCACACGGCGGCCCACCCCCACCCGAACCTGCTCTCGCTGCAGCGGGTGCTGCCGCCGTGCGGAGGCGCAGCGTCGACCTGGCGACGCGGCCTTCTCTGCCGCGGCACGAGGCGGCCGGGCGCGCCTCGAAACCTCGGGGCGGCGCCCCGAGTAGGCGCGAGCTCTACCTCGTCACCGAGCTGTACGACACCGACTTGCGCCCGCCCACGCCGCCGTCGCTACCGCCTCCAGGCCCTCCCGCGCCGACCTCCCACCCTCCCCCACGTAGGCGGCACCTCATCAAGTCGGACCAGCTGCTCTCGGAGCAGCACGTGCGCCCCCTCGCCGCACGGCTGATCACTGCCGCAGGCGGGCGCCCCTCCCACCTCGCTCGGCCGCCGCGACAGGCGCGCTTCTTCGCGTGGCAGCTGCTGCGCGGCCTCGCGGCGCTGCACTCTGCGGGCGTCATCCACAGAGACATCAAGCCTTCCAACCTGCTGGTCAACGCAAACTGCGACCTCAAGATCGCGGACTTTGGCATCGCGCGCGGCGTCGGGCCGACCCGCGCCGCCGCCGCCCACGCCCACGCCGTCGCCACCGCCGCCGACGACGGCGGCGCGGGCGCGGCCCTGCTCGCTTCGGCCGCGACAGAGGCGGGCGAGCCGCCCGATGGTGACGTCGGCGGCAGCGCCGGTGAGGGCCTCTGGCGCCTCTCTCTTCCCAGCCGACTCACGAGTCTCGCCCGACGCGCCCGCGCCTCGTGTCCGCAGTCGCCACCCCGCCGCTGGACGAGTCTACCCGCGCCTCGTCGACAGAGCCCGCCTCCGCGCCGACCTCGGTCGGCGGCGCGTCGGAGGATGACGAGTGCGGTCTCTTCACGTCGTACGCGGTGACGCGGTGGTACCGCCCTCCAGAGCTGCTCTGCGGCAACCGGCGGTACGGCCCGGCGATCGACCTCTGGTCGGCGGGGTGCGTCTTGGGCGCAGCTTCGCCGGCTGCGGGTGCGGAGGAGGGAGGGGCGGAGCAACCGAGGCGTGCGAGGGAGTGTAGGCGAGCTGATAGGCCGCGCGCCGCTGTTTGCGCGCCGCGACCACATGGAGATGCTCCGCGCGATCAACGCGCAGCTCGGCAGCCCGGGCGAGGGCGCGCTGCGTTCCATTGAGGACGACCGCGCGGTGCGTGGCCCCCGCGTTGCGCCCTCTTCGTAGCCCGCGCCGGGGCGCGGTCCCAGCCGGGCCCTGCCGGTTCCACTCGCGGCCCCGCACGCTGTTTTCGTCGGTGACATGACGTCTTCCCGCACTCGTCGGCAGGTGCGCTTCCTCCGGAGGATGCCGCCCCTCCCTCCTCGCGCCTGGGCCGACTCGCTCCCCGGCGGCGCGCCCGGCGGGCTCGACCTCCTCGACCAGCTGCTGCGGTGGGACCCGGCGGATCGGCTCTCCGCCTCCTCGGCCCGCCACCGCCCAGGCTCTCGCCCGCCGCGGGACGCCGCCCCGCACGACGCGCCCCGCCGCACGTCCGTAGGCCCTCCGCCACCCCTGGATTCTGCCGCTCGCGACCCCGGCCGATCTGGAGCCGCTGCCGCCCTGTCCGTTTGACTTTGAGGGGCTGCCGCCAAACCTCGACTACTTTTATCTCGCGGCGCTCGACGCGGCGGCAGAGACGAACGCGGACGCCGGCTACACCTTCCGGCTGCCCGAGCTTCTTCGCTTCGGCATCCTGCACGACCGGACTGTCTATCCGGTGGGCGCTGACGCGCCGCCGGCGGGGGCGGCAGAGGAGGAGGAGGAGCGGCCCCTCTTCACGCTGGACGCGTCGCCGCCGGCCCCCAGGAAGAAGCCGTGACGCGCCGCGCGGCGCGTAGAGGTGCGCGTGTGTCAGAGAGGTGCGTCAGAGAGTCATGCCATGTCGCTTGCGTCGGTGATGGGTGCATGCACCGCCTCTCGCACTCAGGCCCTCACCATTACGCATTCGCATTTCCATTACGCGGCGGCTCTTCCTCTGCGGCAACAGCCAACAGCAACACACAGAAATCAGAATAACCAGAAAGGTCCTCGGCGGATCAGTTTCTTACTGGAATCTGGCTTGTGCTGCTCTCTGTGGTCTCCACACAAACTGCTACACAAACACCGCACAGAGTCGAGTCGAACGTGGTGGGCGTGGGGGGTGGGGGGTGGGGCGTAGCCACGTGAACCCCGGCCCCCTTCGAACACGAGACTCGGTATGACTGAAGAGACGAGAGAGGGGAGGACACAGGAGAGGAGAGGAGAGGAGAGAGGAGTGGCGAGGAGACGAGACGAGACGAGACGAGACGAGACGAGACGGGAGGGGAGGACCGGCACCAACTTGATTCGTAGATGCGCGTCTCCCCCTCCCCCTATGTGCCGCCACCCCCCTCCAATCCGTAATTCCGTAAAATCGCGCGAAAAGCGCCCTAATCGAGCTGGAGAGCGGCCCCCAGCCGCGTGGGAGCGTGCCCCAGCTAGCAGGAGGCGTTAGACGTACTGTCGGCGTGAACAAGGCCTTCGGCGACGTCCGTTCCCTTGGACACGTCGACACATGGCACCGACGCAGCTCAGCATTGTGCTGGAGGGTCTGCTCAACGAGCTCGGGACAGCCGACCTCAGTACGCTCGAGGCCATGCTCAAGCACGATACAGGCGCAGTGCTCGACGCGATCCGAAGCACCACTGCAGCCGCAGAGGCTGGTGCGGCGGTTTATGCCAGCTCGGCCACGAGCAATGTTGTTGTGTGCCCAAGCAGCACTGCCACCGCTGGCGTGATCTCGGGTCAGCACAACGGCAGCATCTCCCGCACTCTCGTCAGCACAGACGCGCAAACCACACTAAAGGGCTCGGACATCCATGCAGCCGCGAGTAGTGCGAGTGCTGAGGTGCTGCTCCGGCAGGAGTTGGAAGAGAAGTTGCGGTCTCGCTTCTGAGCAGCGCTCTGCGAGCGCTGTGAAGAAGGCGCTCGCATCGGCGCGGGCTGAGCTTGCTGCGGCACAAGAGCGTAGGCGTTCCGACCGCGACAACCTGAGGACAGCGCAGCAGGCTGCTAAACGCGACATCAAAGCGGCCGAGCGGATGGCCGACGAGGTATCACACGCAGCTCGAGCTGATTTTGATTGGCGTATCGGCGAGATGCGGGCCAAGATCCAGGCCGAGCTGCGCGAGCAGCTCGACGCGCTGCAGATTTCGATGGAGGCAGAGGCGAGGCGCGCTGATGCCGCAGAGGCGGAGAGGTCAAGGCTGTACGACAAGATGGATGGGATTATATGCGCACGCGACAGAGGTTGATAGTCGCACTCGCAGGGGCGCAGCGCAAGCGCGAATATAGTGATTGTTAAGAGATATACGTAGCGTTACAGTCGCACGGTCGTCGCCCTCCCACTGTGTGCGCCGCCCGCGCGGACCCCGGAGAGCTGCTGCGCGTGCACAGACACTCAGACAGCGTTGCGCGAGCATTGGAGAGGCCAGCCTCCGGCTTCTCAGCGTGTCGCGAGTGCTGTGTCTCTGCCTGCCTTGTAGCTGGGTGCGGCGGGGGAGTCTCTCGTGGTTTTTTGTTACACGATTTACGGACTTACGGATTTACGGATCCACCCCCCTCCGACCCTCCCCGTCCCGCGGTCCGGCCGTGAGACGCGCATCTACGAATCAAGTTGGTGCCGGGGAGACAGGAGAGGAGAGGAGAGGAGAGGAGACGAGACGAGACGAGAGGAGAGGAGAGGAGAGAAGCGGAGAAAGGAGAGGAGTGGAGTGAGAGGAGAGGAGAGGAGAGGAGAGGAGACGAGACGAGACGAGACGAGAGGAGAGGAGAGGAGAGGAGAGGCGACGAGAGGAGACGAGAGGAGACGAGAGGAGAGGAGAGGAGAGGAGAGGAGAGGAGACGAGAGGAGACGAGAGGAGAGGAGAGGAGAGGAGAGGAGACGGGAGGCTGCCGCTCGCCTCGCCACTGCTCACGCAGACTCACAGCCGCGGGCCCGGCTCGCAACTGACCTCTCCTCACCTCTCTCGCCTCGACCTCTCCTCAGGCCACGACTCGCCCATATCTCCCCGCATCTCCCCAACTTACACGGCGCCTCTTCTTGCCGCCCAAACGAGGGCGCTGCTCACGGCAGCGGCGCCGAGCGTGTAAAGCGCGGCACACGCGCCAGCACCCTTGGAACGGCGTCTGACAAATCGGCGCCCCGGGCCCTAAGCGAGTCCGAAAGATTGTGAGAATCGTCTCCTCACACCTCAGGCCGCTAAGTGTCTTTTTCGCCGTCAAACCGCTCTAGCGGCGCTGCGCGCCGCGTGGAGAGCGCGGCGCGTACAGAGGAGCACACGCTGCGTACGCACCGCGAAGGCCGTCTCACGAGCCGGCGAGCCGAGCCCATTCATAGCATGAAGTGTGAACGGCGCCTCTTCACACCTCAACAGCTGGCGCCCAGCTCGCAAAAGCCTCGGATGGCCGCCTCGCTGTGGGGAGATAAACGCAGAAGACGCGACAGCTCAGAGAGGCCCATGCTCGAGATACTGCCCGGGGATACTGCCCGGCGGCGAGGCTCGAGCGGCGCGGGCGGGCGGCAGACGTGTATATCGCTCGGAAGAAGAAATCGCTGCGATTGGCCGCAAAGGGCAGTGCGGTCCCCTTTTTTCTTTTAGGGCAGTTCGGGAGATTCCTTTGCTGCGCGATGAGGCAGCGCCGCCGATACAGGTGCACCAGCGGCGGACGTACGCTCACCACATGATTTGCCCACAACTCCAACTCTTTCAGATGAACTTTGTGCGACGTTACACAACATTTTATGGCAAACCCCTTCACCGCGGAGCAGGCGCTGCTCTCGTCGCTCGCGGCGGAACGGATATCGGCGCGCAAGGAGGCGGCCGCGGCGGCGCCTCCTCGACCTGCGGGAGCGGGCCTCCGCTTCCGAGCCATCCCGCCGCTTAGCGAGCGGCAGCTTGCGACGGGCGAGGTGGCCTCACTGCCCGGGTACGGGAGGCATGCCCTCGCCGTGTCGTCGACGGGTCACGCCGGTATTAAGGAGATGCAGCTGGCGCGGAAGGCGCGGCATGAGGCTGAGCTCGAGGCGTACCATCGCCGGCGGACGGGAGTGGAGGTCGACCTCGAGGCGCGCACGGGAAAAGCGGGGCGCAATTACCGCAAGCTCGTCGCACTCGCCGATGAGGAGCTCGAGCTCTCATTCGACGAGCTCGGCGACGCGTTCCTTCTCGACATGGAGCTCAACGAGGTGCGCGACGCGTGGAGACAGATCGACGAGCAGGGATCGAGGCGGAGCGGCTGGACGGCGCAGCTCAAGGCGGACCTCGACGGCATCGAGGGCGAGCGCCGCTCCATCTGCGCGGCCGAGCTAGCGCGCCTGCTCGACGCACTGCTCGGGATCGCACACTTGCTTCCCAACGACCTCGAGCGGCTGGTCGAGGAGCTGACGCACGAGACAAACCTGCTCATCCTCTCCAACCGCGACGTCCACGCGACGCTGGTTGCACGCCTCGAGCAGCGGGAGGTGAAGCAGCAGCGCGAGCGAAGGGAGCGGTGGGAGCAGCGGCTCCTCGCATGGCGACAACTGCGCCACGCCCACGCGGTGGCCTGCTACCAGCAGGCGCTGCATGCTCCGCACGTCGTCTCGCCGCCGGAGCGCGCCGAGGCCCTTGCCGACCTCTCGGCAGCGCAGCGGGCGGCGCAGGCGCGGCGAGAGGCGCTGCTCGAGGGCCTCGCCGCCCTCGAGCCACCGGACCTCGATGAGCGTGCGGCGGTGGCCGTTGCAGCCCAGCTCAGCGCCGTCAGCGAGGAGGAGGCGCAAGCTGAGGAGGCGCGCGTCGAGCAGCTGATGGCGGCCGATGCGGAGCTTGAGGGCACGCTGCGAGAGGGGCTCGAGTTTCTGCGCGGCCGCCTGCTCCATTTCGGCGCCGCGAGCGACGAGGCGGTGGAGGCGCAGATCGCCGCCACCGTCGAGCCGCTTCTGGCGCGCCGGCGATCGGAGGCGCTCCGCTTCGTCGCCGCCACCCAGCGGGCCCTCCAACGGCGCAGGCGCCGGGTCCACGAGCGCGCGCTCGCACTCGCCGCAACGGTGGGCAGAGTGGGCCGCGTCTTCGACGACCACGCGGCGGAGATCACCGAGCTGTACTCATCGCTGCGATGCGACATAGCCACTTGCCGGCGAGAGCACGAGCAGCGCGACCGCAGCAGCGAGGAGGCCCTGGATGAGAGCTTGCTGGCGCTACGCCGCGCCGCGGACAAGGAGGAGTGCAGCTTGCACGCGGCCGCGGCTACTGAGACGCTGAGCGCGATTGCGGAGGGGTACCGCGTCTTGCACGCCGAGACGCTCGATGTGGTCGCGCGCCACCCGTCGGCCGTGGGTTCCGCGCTCTCAAAGTTGCATGCCCGCCTCTGCGACTCACTCCGCCTCAAAGCTTGCGCGGAGGGCTCGAGTAGCGAGCACGGCGGCGAGGAGGGAGGGGAGGGGGGCGGCGAGGAGGGCGGCGAGGAGGGTGCCGAGGAGGGTGGCGGGTCGGGTGGCGAGGGCGGCCAAGGCGAGGAGGAGCAAGGCGAGGAGGGGCAGGCAGACGAAGGTGATTGCGTCGAGCTGAGCGGCACCAAGTCTTTCGAACCCTCGACCGCGACAGACGAGGAGGATCTCGAAGCCTTCTTTGGGCTTCGCTTCCCCGACCGGCTCGTCGCAGCGGAGCTGCTCGAGCAGGAGGAGCGTGGGATCGCGGCGCTCGAACGGCCCGCGGCGGTCGAGGGGCGTCACCTCCTCGTCAGGACCGAGGGAGGGGTCACCTACGAGATGCTCGAGACGACTCTGGCGGCGGCCGGGATCGAAGCGGCCTCGTCGGCTCCCGAGTCGAGCGCGCCCTCGTCCGAGGCGGCGACACCGCGGGGCAGCGGCGGCGAGGGCGGCGGCGAGGGCGGCGGCGAGGGCAGCGGCGAGGGCGGCGGCGAGGCGGCCGCGCCAGGCCTTGGGCTGGATGGAGGAAGAGGGAGAGCGGCTGTCGTCCTGGCCGATGGGTCGGCTGGCGATGTGCCTCCCGATCTCGAGCGGCGGCTGCTGCTAGGGCTGGCCGGGCGCTGCCTGTCCTACCAAGAGGTGCACGCCACCTCGATGGCCGAACGGGCCGGCGACGAGGAGCGCGAGCTCGTGGCGCAGATGACGCTCGAGCTCGACGAGCGGCTCATGGCGCACCAGCCTCGCCTCGGCCGCGTCGAAACCGACATCTTTGCCGCGCGCAACGATGAGCTGCTCGCCCACCGCGAGCGGTTCATGCGGCACGCCAAGGCGCTCCGCGCGAGGCGCGCCGCCGCTTGGCGGGCGATCGATTCGGGGCTCGCCTCTTGGAGCGGCCTCGAGGCGGCGCACCTTGAGCGGATGCGAGCCCTTCGCGCCGCGCTGTACGACGAGAGGAGCACACACGCGCCCACGCTCCACCGGCTGGAGAGGGAGGCCGAGTCGGCACAGGAGGGCTACCTGCAAGGCGTCGACGCGCGGCGGGGCGGCCTCCTGCAGAGCATCGACGCGGTGGTGGCAGCCCACCGCGAGAGCAACGCCGAGTTCGAGGCGACGTGGAGGAGTTTCCACGAGGGAGGCAACTTCAACGCCGACGAGCGCAGCCGATTCCGCTCACGCCTCGAGGAGCAGGCGGCTCTGGCCGAGGACGAGGCCGCGAAGCAGCGCTCCCGTGTCGAGACGGCGCACGAGGAGCGAGTCGCCGCGGCGGCCGCCGCGATGGAGACTTTCGCGGAGGCGCGCGCGCTCAACCTCGAGGACGTCGAGATGTTGGGTGGGCTGCGGCTGCGGCAGAGCGCGGCGACGTCAGCGGTGCGAGCGGTCACGGCGGCGTCGGCGGCCGAGAAGGCCGCCATCGACGAGGCCATCCGGGCATTGGGCGAGCTGCTCGTCCGCGAGGCAGCCGGTGGTGATGAGCCGCGGGTCTCTGCGGCAGCGGCCGCTGCCGAGGCGGCGCTGGGCGGCTGCGCCTGACACCTCTATCGGTGGAGGGCTTTAGGTCACGGTCCGCACTCCCGCCCTCCCGACCCCTCCACACCCCTACAGCGGCACCCCTACCCCTCCCGCCGTTTTAGGGCCTGCCCACCCGCACTCTTTCGCGGCGGGGCGCGCGAGGCGGAGTGCGGAGTGCAGTGGCAGTGTACCACTTCTTCAGTACCGTGTACAGTACCCCCCGTAAAGGGTGTGGATGCTGGGTTGAACATAATCGGGGGACGCGACCCACCTCGCCACAGACGGTCCCGCGCCTCGCCGCTAAGTTTGCGGCACGCCCCGCACCGTCCGCTGTGCCGCGTTTTTTGTCCGGAGTGAAAAGTCCAACGCGCTCGTCGGTGGCGGCTTCCCTCAACCTGCGCCGCGCTCGGCGAACCTCGACAGCGCTTTCGGTGGCATGCAGCTCTTTGCGACAGAAGCCTGGAGAGCAGCTCCTCTGCTGCTCACACACTCTGCACAGCTGACACAGCCTACTGTGCGGCTGCCACAGCTGTGGCAGCGATGGGCTCGCCCTCACTGGCCCTCAGTCACCTGTGCTGCGGCTTGTGTGAGCGACACTGCTCGGCGACTGCCGGCACACTGTGAGACCATGGGTGTGAGGTCAAACCACGCTACCAGCGCTTGGTCACATCGGCCCCGAGGTCAGATCCATCCACTCTGTTGATGACAAGACTTGTCTACCGGCTGGAGCCGAGCAGGAGGGCTTGGCGCACAACCCCTGTTCAACTCACCCTCCACACCCCGTACGTAAAGTAGTCGTGGTACATCTACAGCTGTCATGCAGAGCTGTACGCTACGTACGCGGCTAGCTATAGGACCGTACTGTACGCGGTTACTGACAGTAGATCTAGATGCACTTTTTTCAGCATATACGTAGCCACGCCCTACCACGCCCACACACGGCTCACTTACGGGTGGGTGTGCTGATCATCATCGTCCGAGGATGGGATGAGGCTTGATTGAGGGATCGACGCTGGCCGCTGCGCTGCGGACGGCGGTCGCGAGCGTCTCGTTGCGCAGCTCGCACAGCGCGAGGTCGAGCAGCTCGAGGCCGAGCCTCGCGCGCGTCTGCTCGCTGTAGTGCACGCCGTCAAACGTGTCGAGGCAGCCCGCCTCTGCGGTGATCGCGAACGCGTCGAGCACGCGCACGCGTTCGTGTGCCGCGGCCACCTCATAGACGACCTCGCGCTGAGCCTGCCCGCCGGCGCGGCGGTAGAAGAAGGAGCGGTAGTCGGCCTCGCTCAGCCCCACCTTGCGCTCGGCGTCCTGCGCCGCCGAGGCGAGCCTGGACGCCATCCAACGCCGCCTGGCCGCGCTCTTGACGTGCGCGAGCTCATTGGCCGACGCCTCGCTGCCGGCGCGCTCTGCCAGTGCGCTCTCGTATGCACTCATGAAGAGCACACCTTCGCCCAGCGCCATCTCCTGCCGCTTCGTCGACGCGAGCCACGCCTCCTCGCACATAGCGTTGGCCGTCTTGAGCACCACCAGCGCGTGCGGCGCCACCTGTCGCACCTGCCGCACCATCAGCTCAAGCCGGTGGCGGTACCGCTCGCGCCCACAGCACGTCGGGTCGAGCAGCAGCTTCTGCGACGGTGCGAGATCTCCTCGTGACGTCCGCTGCGGCGTCCGCCACTCCTTTTTCCACGTCCACCACGGGTGCATGTGCAGGCACCAGATGCCCGCGTGCAGCACCACCGCGTCGGGTGCGCCGCCGCCGGTGAGGCCCCAGCGCGTCCAGTTGAGCACGCTCGCGAGCGGGTAGCGGAGCAGCGCGTCCCATGAGTTCTCACGGCTCGCCGCCAGCCACGGCAGGTCCTGCTTGAGCACCGTGCGCTTCAACCGCCACAGCGGCGTGTTCTTGAAGCGCGACCGCAGCCCAGCGACAGTGTGCGCCAAGACGGCAAGCGCACCACACTCCTCTCCTTAAAATCCCTGTGTGGTGGCGGCGTGCCGTCCTCCCATCCCTCCCTTGGGTTGTCTGTTTTCTTTCTTTCTTTTTTAGGTGAGAGAGAGTTCTTTTTTGTTGAATTCTTTTTTAGAGAGTTGTTTTTGTTGAATTCTTTGTTTTATTTACACGGGACTGGCGCGCACTGGCACTAACACGCGAGAAACATTTTAATCTTTATTAGTCATTCCCTCGCACAACAACATGGGGCACGCGGAACTGGCGCGCACTGGCACGAACACCAGTCCCGTGCCTTGCGAAAAGAACTCTCACAATTCAAGCACGAGCGGAGTTACGCGGAGAGGCGAGAGAAGCCGCGAGAGCAGCAAGGCATCGGCAGGCGGCGTCGCAGACAAAGATGCGGGACCCACACTAAATGTACTGCAGCTGCCCGCACCTAAAGTGAACTAAATGTGGCGCTAAATTGGAGATAAAACACACTAAATATGTGCTAAATATGTGCTAAATATGTGCTAAATTTGCGCTAATTTTGCGCTAAAGTCGCACTATATACGCACTCGAACACGCACTAAATAGCGCACTAAACTATCACTAAAGTTCATTCACACGCACTAAATTAGACCCAGGCGCCCTCCGTGAGGCAAATGACTGCACTCCCAGGCTGTCATGGCATGCTGGCTTTCGCGCGGCTGCTCGACGGCGCGTGCGTATAAAATTTTGCGTTTTCCATTGAGATTGCATCTGCCCGCTTTTTTGGCCAGTGTGTGTGCGCTGCGTGCGTGCGCGGTGGGCGTCCGGAAAATTCTTTTTTGGCAAGGCGGAAGTCTTCGGCGCCCGAGGCCGCGCGCGCCCATATCGGCAGAGCTGCGCACAGTTACCCACCCCGAGACGGGCCGGTCGGCGCGGCCTGCTCGGCCTCCGCGGCTGCGGGCCGAGGCGGAAGAGCCGTCTGCGGCGTAAAAGTCTTTTCGCGTGTTAGTGCCAGTGCGCGCCCCGTGCCAGTCCAGTGTCCTGCCCCATGCCTGCCCCCAGTATAACGAGGCCGCGTCAGCACGTCAGTCGTCACCCGCCCCGAAGGCATGTTGTGCGAGTAAGTATATGGGCCAAAAGCGTCGAAAATGTCCCATAAAAGCGTGTCTCGAGTTTGTTGCAGCTCCACAGCCGGCGCGCGCTGCCAGGAAGCACCGCTCGAGTGTCGGCCGCACTCCCTGGCACCCAGTGAGTGCGGCCGACCGACCAGACCGATTAGGCTCGACGCCGCGCTCGCTGTGGGGCTGCAACAAAGTCGCCGCCGAGCGTGCCATCGAAGGCGTCCCGTCGGAGGTGATGGAGTGTGAGACCTGAGGCTGCGGAGGTGACGCCTGAGGTACCGGCCCGTGTACGGCGACTCAGCCGGCGACCGCCAAGGGCTCAGACGAGGCTTGTAGACGCGTTCCGGCTCAGCTTCACCGTGGTCATCGGGCGTCTGTCGACGTCAGGACCACCCATACAGCTCGCGGGTTTGAGGTCGCAAGAGCCAAGATGGTGGCGTTTGGACATCCCAACCATCACACAAGACAGCCTGTAGGTGATGGCGGGACGGCGCAGTGTTTGTGGCACTCGGCAGTAGGCACCCGCGGCACAGCCCCGCGGTCGGCTCTCGCGGGCTGCGGAACCGGCCCCAGAAGGGGACGGTCCGGGCGAGTGTGGCAGCTCCTGCGCTAGTATGGGCACCCTCTATCACAACACTACTGATCCTGGCCATTAGAGCTGCCAGGGATAGCGTCAGGAGCTGGTAGGAGTCAAAACCCCTCATATTTGAGACATCGGGTGGCCCATATACTCGCACAACGAGCCCGAAACCCAGGGCTGGATTCGGGACAAGGGCTGTGTTTACCTGTCAATGGAATGAAGAAGAGAGAATGCGACTACTGACGTACGAACGTACGAATGTACCGGGAAATCAAAACGGTGTCGCAGGAGCGCGCTCCCTGTACAGACCGAACGCAGAGCATGTTCTTGCTGACGTGCTCGTATCTCTCCAAATGGTCGCCGACCAGGAAGGTGACTTTGCCCTCTGGCAGGGTGGCGTCGCCGCACATCTTGCCCATGTCGGCGGAGAAGGTGGAGGGCGGAACGACGATCGGGGCAAAGGAGGGAGGCGGAGGAGGCGCCGCCACGCAGACCTGGCGGAGGCCACCTTCCGAACCGACCGACAGCGTGCTGCCGTCGGAGCTGATGGCGACTTCTTCTGGGCTGGCGAACCCCGCCGCGTCGCCCACGCCGTCAGCGCTGCCCTCTGTGCCACTGCCCGCGAGCGTGGTCACCGCGCCAGTCGCCACCTCAACCCGCCGGATCTTGTGGTTGTCGAGGTCCGCCACAAACAGCGCGCCGCCGTCTGGGATGACAGCGATGCCAGTTGGGCCGCAGAACTGCGCCGCGTCGCCCACGCCATCCGCGTCGCCATTCTCGCCGCTGCCCGCGACCGTTGTCACAGCGCCCGTCGCCACCTCAACCCGCCGGATCTTGTGGCTGCATTGGTCCGCCACAAACAGCGCGCCGCCGTCTGGGCTGATGGCGAGGCCAGCTGGATTGTAGAACTGCGCCGCGTCGCCCACGCCATCCACGTCGCCACCACCGCCGCTGCCCGCGATACTCGTCACCTCTCCCGTCGCCACCTCAACCCGCCGGATCTTGTGCTGATGGCGATGCCAGCTGGTTCGTCGAACTACACATTTTCAAGAGCTCACGGCCGCGCCGCCTTCAAATCTTAAATTCGGCTTGCCTCGCGCCGTGGCGGCCAACCCTGAACAGGACCGACGCGACCTTTTTTGGCTGCGCGCCTCACCAGCCGTGCTTTCAAGACCTGGGCTACGTGGCGTGCGTACTCTCGTGGTGGCTAACCAGCTTTTGGACACGCGAGCTCGGCACGAGTAGAGAGGGAGTTGTTATAAAATTCTTTTCTCGTGTACGTGCCAGTGCGCCGCCAGTCCCGTGCTCAGTGTCGTGCGAGAAAGTATCTAAAATTTTGCTGAAGTCGATTTTACTCGAGCACGCGCGCCGAGTTGTGCGTCTAGTGTTAAGGTAAGGTAAGGTAAGGTAAACTTCTCCAGGACCCTTTGAAATAATAAACTGCGACGTCCGTGAGGCCCCTACGGCCGGTGGCAGTGAGTGGGTGATTGGAGGGCCATAAACTACCATCACGCCGCCCATCGGACCCCTCCTCCACCCCAAACACAGTCCAAACCGGGGCCCCGGCGGCGGCCGGCGCGGCGGCGGCGACGCACGCCGGCGAAGCCGACCATCAAGCTGCTGTACGGCCTCGGCATCGCCTACCCAGGCTTAGCTAGATTGAGACATATTGTGCACACGGTCTGTTACTACAATATATACACTAACACTGTACCTCCCAGAGCTCATCCCGCTCCATTACGGCCATCCTCGTCCTCAGGCGCCGGGCTCCGCCGGCCAGTCGCCCGCCAGATCCGGCTTCGTCGGAAGGGCGTCGTCGCGGAGCACCATCGCCGCTGTCGGCGCTCCTGCGGCGGTCCGGGGGCACGTCTGGGTGGCCAGGGGCGGGGGTCGAGCCGTGAGTGCTCCGCCGGGGCGAGCTTCTGGGTCCATGGCACCGCTGCCGGACCCGTCCGAGAGCCTTTCCGGACACGTTCGCTCGATGGCCTAGCTGGCGGCCGATATTCGACAACCAAAGCTCCGGACGCCGCGGCCAAAGATCCGCGCACAGTCACAGGGCTCGTGGTGAGTGTGGGGTGTGCCTCACGAGGCGGAGAGGCCGCGTGAACTCCCGTAGAAGCTCGCGAAGTGCGGATTTGGAGCGCCGCGCCGGACCTCCGCCGGGGCCCGCCGGGGCCACGGGAGAGGTCAGAAATCGTTTTGGGGGGTAGACTACTACAAACCGGTCACGGTCCCGTCCAGTTTAGTCCCTTGGCCGGCCCTGGGCCGCTCGGCACCGCGCGGGGGTGCCGTTAAGCGACCCTACCAGGATTTTCAGTGGTCGATTTTGCTTTTTGGATTTTGGCCAAAAAGCCCAATGTGGACTCTTCTCTCCCCGGGGCCCGGGCTCGTAGCTGCTCATACATACACGCAAGCGGCTTGGGAAGCGGGACAAAAATGGAGCTCATCGTCCTAAAGACACGACGGCCCATATGCACGCACAGCACGGAGAGTCTGCCGCCATGCGCTCTACTCTTCTAGGGTGTGCCGGAGGGCGTCGAGGAGGGCGTCCTCCTGCCGCTCTAGCAGCTCCTGCGGCGGGGGCGGGTCTCGCAGCGCAAAAAGCTCCTCCCGAAGCGCAAGCAGCTCGGCGGGCAGCGCCTCGTCGGCTCCATCGAGGTGCCGCCCTCCGACCACGGCCTCATCGTGGTCGGCGTGCACGGCGTAGTCGGCCTCATCGTAAGAGAGGTCGTAGCTGAAGGCCTGGGCCGGCCGCGCGCCGGCAGAGGGCGAGCGCAGCGTGTCCGCAGGGCTTGGAGCTATCGGGCTCACGGCTTCGGCGCGCCGCCTCCACCCGTCTGACCTGCCGTCAAAGCCTTGGCCCTCGTATGCCCCCTCGTCCGTTACCGGGCGGCCAGTGAGCAGGTCCAGCTTCTGCGGCTCGAGGTCGCGGGCTGGAGGCGGCCCGTATCCGTAATAGTCGTCGTTGTAGCCGCCAAAGCCAGCATAGCCGGTGCGGTCTGCGCCATATCGATAGACCTCCGGCCCGCCCATCGCGTCGAGCATGCGCCTCCTCGCCGCGCTTCGCTCGCGATGGCAGGCCTCCGACGCCGGCCCATCGGCAGTCGCGGCGGCGACCGGGCGCTGCGAGGAGGGCGTGCCCTGCCTCGCCAGCCAGAGCGCCCTCGCCTCCGCCTCGGACAGCGGCTCGGCCTGCCCGACCAGCAGCCTCGCCGCGCGGGTTCTCGGCGCGGCGCGACCACACCCGGGCGAGAGCAGCAAGAGCATTTGCAGGCGGTCCGCCCGAACGCTCTCTCTCGAGGTTCTCGAGGTGGATCGCCTTGGGGGCTTCGGGCTTCACTCCGCGGAGGAATCGAGAGGAAAAGAGCTTTTTCGAAGAAAAGAATTTGCGGGTCGTGCGAACCAGCGCAGTTCCCGGCTCACGGCGCAACGTGGCGTGCACGCAAAGATGCCGCTGATGCTGCCGCTCCTCCTGCTCCAGCATGCGGCTCTGCCCGAGATGATGACGCGCGAGGAGCGGGTCTCGCTTCGCGAGGAGGCGATCGCTCCGCTCCGCAGACGCCTTTGCGGTTGCCGCCGCTCCGTCAGCCCGCCGCCCTCCGCCAGCAGGTGCGAGCGCTCTTCCACCACGGGTACGACAGCTACATGGCAAACGCGTTCCCGGCCGACGTGCTGCTGCCTCTCTCGTGCACGGGCAAGGACGGGTGGGGCAGCTTCTCGCTCACGCTGGTCGACACCCTCGACGCGCTCGCGCTGCTCGGGAACCGCACCGAGTTTGAGGCGCGTGTGTGGTGGGTGGTGGAGCACCTCTCCTTCGACGTGGACGAGACGGTCTCCCTCTTCGAGACGACCATCCGCGCGCTCGGCGGCCTGCTCTCGGCCCACCTGCTGGCCGCCGACCCGCAGTTGCGCCTGATGGAGGCGCCGTACGATCCGCACGGCGGCCTGCTGCTCCTCGCGCTCGACCTGGCCGAGCGGCTGCTGCCCGCGCTCGACACGCCCTCCGGCATCCCGTACGGCTCGATCCACCTGCGCGACGGCGTCTCTCCCACCGAGTCGACCATCACCTGCACCGCCGCCGCGGGCGCCTCGCCCTCCTCGCCCTCCTCGCCCTCCTCGCCCTCCTCGCCCGCACCGCCCGCACCGCCCGCACCGCCCGCACCGCCCGCACCGCCCGCACCGCCCGCACCGCCCGCACCGCCCGCACCGCCCGCACCGCCCGCATTGCACACCGCACGGGTCGCACGGCGCCGCGCCCCACCGCAGGCACGCTCGCCCTCGAGTTCGGCGCGCTCTCGCGGCTGACGGGCGACCGCCGCTTCGAGGACGCCGCGCTCCGCGCCGCGAGGGCCATCTGGCGGCACCGGTCGCAGCACGACCTGCTCGGCGCGCACGTCGACCTGCGGACGGGGGCGTGGACGCAGCCCGACGCGGGGGTGGGGCGGGGCATCGACTCCTTTTACGAGTACATGCTCAAGGTGATGCCTTTCCCTGAGAACGTACACAAACAACGCCTCGTGCGTAATGCCCCCTGTGTTCCGCGAGTGCGTGTGCCCCGTCGTCCATGCTAGGACGTGTGTAACACTGACTGACTGACTGCTCAAGGCGCACATGCTCTTATTATTATTATTATTATTATTATTCTTATTATTCTTATTATTCTTATTATTCTTATTATTATTAAGGCGCACATGCTCCTCGGCGGCGCAGAGTACCTGGCCGCCTTCCACGACGCCTACCGCGCCGCCGGCCGCCACCTCAAGCACGGCGCGTGGTACATCGACGTGCACACGTCGACGACCGCGGTCACCTCGCCGCTCTTCAACTCGCTGCAGTGCGCCGCCGCCCCGGCCCGCACGCGGCCTCCACCCGGGGCGGCGCCGCCTTCGGTCCCGTGCACACACACACACACACACACACACACACACACACACACACACACACACACACACACACACACACACACACACACACACACACACACACACACACACACACACACCGCTCACCAACGCGCACTGGGCCTTGCACTTTGAATGCCGTGGGGCTCCTGTCGTCAGACGTGGAGACGCGAGGGTTGCCTGGCCCTTGCCCCACCACCTCGTGTGTGTGGAGAAGTTTACCTTACCCTACCTATCCCGTGCGCAGGTGCTTTTGGCCGGGGATGCAGGTGATGGTCGGTGCTATTCACACCTCCCATTCACACCTCCTATTCACACCTCCTATTCACACCTCCCATGCAGGTGATGGTCGGCGACCTCGAGCCGGCGGTCGACACGCTGCGCGCCTTCCACACGCTCTGGCGCCACCTGGGCGTGAATAGGAGGTGTGAATAGGAGGTGTGAATAGGAGGTGTGAATAGGAGGTGTGAATAGGCGCCACCTGGGCGTACACCCGGAGGGCTTCAACCTGGTCAACCTCGAGGTGCAGCAGGGGCAGACGGGGTACCCCCTTCGGCCGGAGCACGCCGAGTCGCTCTTCTACGCGCACCGCGCCACCGGAGGCAGCGAGTGGCTCCGCGCCGGCGCCGACGTCCTGCGGTCGCTCCAGGCTCTCGTGGTGCCGTGCGGCGTCGCCGCCCTCTCTGACGTGGTGAACCGGACAGCCGAGGACACGATGGAGTCCTTCTTCCTCTCCGAGACGCTCAAGTGCTCCCCCTCCACCGCCCAAGCCCTCCCCACCCAAGCCCTCCCCAACCCAAGCCCTCCCCAACCAAGCCCTCCCAACCCAAGCCCTCCCCAACCCAAGCCCTCCCCAACCCAAGCCCTCCCCAACCCAAGCCCTCCCCAACCCAAGCCCTCCCCAACCCAAGCCCTCCCCACCCAAGCCCTCCCCAACCAAGCCCTCCCAACCCAAGCCTCCCCAACCCAAGCCCTCCCCAACCCAAGCCCTCCGCCGCCACCACGCGCCACCACGCCACCCCCAACCGCGCGCGCACAGGTACTTGTACCTGCTCTTTGACCCGGACGACGCCGTGTACACGCACGGCAAGTACGTCTTCACCACGGAGGCGCACCCGCTCCCGCTCGCGCTCGGGTTGCACAACGCCTCGCTCTTTGAGCGGCCCTCGTTCGGGTCGTACGGCGGCGAGGGCGGCGTCGAGGGTCACGGCGGCGAGGGCGGCGTCGAGGGGAGGGAGAGCCGCGGCGGCGGCGCGGCGGACGAGCAGGAGGAGTGGATCCTCGCCTCGCTCCGCCCCGGCCTGGAGGAGGGCGAGGCCGTGTCGGCGGAGGAGGAGGTGGTCGAGGCGGAGGCGGCGGCGGCGCAGGCGGAGGCGGCGGCGGAGGCGGCGGCGGAGGCGGAGGAGGAGGCGCAGGCGGAGGCGGAGGCGGAGGAGGCGGCCGAGGCTGCAACAGAGGAGGCTGCGGCGGGGGAGGGCGTGGCGGCGACCGCGGCGGCGCGCGCTGAGGTGGCCGGCGGCATCGCGCTCCGAGCTGCCGAGACAAAGCTGACGGGCGGCGAGGCGGCGCGGGCCGCCCGGCTGCCCCGCCCCTCCGACCTCCTGGGCAGCTGCGCGCTGCCGACCGCGGCGCAGCGCGCCGGCGTCTTTGGGGACGAGCCGGCCGGGTCCAACACCAAGGCGCACCTCGCCGAGCACCTCGCCGGCCACGTGCGGGAAAGGGCGCAGGAGCAGGCGGCGGCGCAGCAGCGATCCCAGCGCCGGCAGCAGCGGCAGGCGCAGCGCAAGGGGCAGGAGGGGCAGGGGCAGGCAGGCAGGCAGCAGGACGAGGCGTCGGACGAGGCGTCGGACGAGGCGTCGGACGACTCGCAGGTGGCGCTCGCGCCGTACCGCGGCGCCCTCCGGCTGCTCGCCTCACGGGCGGCGGTCCAGCCCGCCAAGTTCCTGCTCTGGGGGGGGGCGCCGCCATCGGCTGCCGCGCCTCTCGCCGAGCTCCTCCGTCTGTACGAGAGCGAGGCTGCCGGCAACAAGGACGCAGCCGCACTGTCCGTGTCCATCGGCAGGAAGTGCGCTTCTCACGCCGACTGCTTCGCCCTGGGCCTCACTGGAGATTGCTGCCCGACCACCACCGGCGTGTACATCGCTTGCTGCGGCAAGCCGCCGCCAGCCGGCGGCGGCCCCACGGCGGCCTCCAGCCACCCGCTGCATGGCATCGATTTCGACGCCCTGATCACGCGCCGGCCCGACCTCGCCGAGCCGCTTGCGCGCGCCAGAGACGCGTTTGCGCTGCGCCGCTCGGCGGCCGTGGCGAGCGACGAGGGCGCGGGCGCTGCCGCCGGCAGCGGCGCCACCCGGGCCGCCGGCGGGGGCGGCGAGGGTGGCGGCGAGCCGGAGCGCGACCAGGTCCGCGCAGAAAGCAGCGTGGTTGGGAAGGGGGAGACGGCGGTGCTGCGTGTGGGGCCGGGCGGGCTGAGGCTGAGCAGCGGGCAGGAGCTCTCGGCGGAGCAGGTGGTGCAGATGCAGGGCGTCGGCATCAGCGCGCTCAGTCTGCCGGACCTGCTCACCGCCCTCGGGGCAGTCGACCCGGCCACGGGCGAGCCGGCCGGCGCGCTGGACGGGCACACGCTCGTGGCGCTCGCGCCGGAGGCCGCGCGGGCGAGGCCGGCGGAATCCGCGGGCAGGCGAGGGGGGGCGGCCGATCTCGCCGCGGGAGACCGCGTGAGGGTGCGGCGGCGGCCGCGGCAGGAGGGCGGCGGCGGCGGCGGCGGCGGTGGCGCGGGCGGTGGCGAGGGCGGCAGCGACGAGGGCGGTGGCGGTGAGGGCGGCGGCGAGTGGTTCTCCGACGCGACGGTGCGCGCCGTCGTGCCGTCGGTCCACTTTGCGAGCGGCGGGCCGTGGATCGGCGTCGTCCTCGACGAGCCGGTTGGCTTGCACGACGGGGAGGTGCGCGGGCGGAGATACTTCAGTTGCGCCCCCGGGCACGGTTTGGTGGTGCGCGCGTCGGCGGTGGAGCGGCTGCCGGAGCGGCGGCGCTCGCTCTCCGAGGAGGCGGCGGCCGACGCCCGCGCGGCGTGGCGGGCGGCCGAGCGGGAGCGCGCCTCCGCGCTCGCCGGAGAGCTCGCGCCCTCGGTGCACTCCGGGCCCAACCCTCCGGAGCAAGGCGGCCGCGGAGGGGGCGGCGCCAGCGCCGACAGCGCCGCCGCGGCGACGGGCGGCAGCGCGGAGCCCGCCGGCGCGGAGCCCCCTCCCGCCGTTCCGACGTTCGGCGACGTGCCTCGCCTCGTCTTTGGGGCGGAGTCCGCCGCGACGCACTGGTCGGAGCGGTTCGAGGCGCTCCGCCGGACCGAGGCGCTCGCGGCGCAGGCGGCGGTCGCCGCGGCGGGCGGGCAGGAGGCGCCCGCGGGCGAGGCGATGGGCAACCTGCTGCAGCGGCTCTTTGGAGGGCTCGGCCATGTGGTGCAGCAGTTCCGCGGCGCGCCCGAGGCGGCCGGCGCCAGCGACGACGTGCGGCTCAAGCCGGGCCGGCCGCGGCTGAGCGACACCGTGGAGGTCATCATCGGCGGGTTCAAGGACGGGGGCGACGCGCGGCGCGGCGAGGAGGCGGAGGTGGTGCAGGACGACCGCGACTCCAAGCCATTCATCCTGCGCTTCGCGGACGGCACGCTCGGCAGCCACTTTTACCCCGAGTCGGCGGTGCGGCTGGTGCGGCGCGGCCCCCGCCCCTCCGTCGGCGACGAGGTGGTCATCGGCCGCAGCGGAGACCCCCGCGACGGCCAGCGCGCCACCATCGTGCAGGACGACCAGGACACGACGCCCTACCGCCTGAAGTTTGCCGACGGCACCGTCTCGGTCTCGTTTTACGAGCAGGCGCACGTGCAGCTCGTGGCCGTCGCGGCGGCGGGCGGCGGTGCCGAGCTGGCGCCGCCGCCGGCGGAGGGCGAGCCGTCGGCAGCGCCCTCTCCGCTGCCGGAGCCGGTGTCGGCCGCCGCTGCCAAGCCGCAGCCGGCCGCGCGCCCTCCGCTCGCCGCTTGCCCCTACGAAGCGAGCGTGGGAGGGCCGGGCCAGCACCCCGCCGGTGCTCTCGCGCCGCTTATTCCGAGAGGAACCGACCTCGACGGCTGCGTCGCCGTCGAGGTCGGAGCCGCCGGCTCGGAGCCGCCCTCGCGCGCAGCCATCGCTGGCCTGAGCGGGTCCATTTTTGCACAGCTCGCAGCGGAGGAGCCGCAGGAGTGCAGACGGCTCGCGGCGACGCTGGGCGGCGGCTCACCGTCGGAGCACGCGGAGGTTGGCGAGACGTGATGGGGAAGCCAGGGCCTCCCTGCATGTGTGCATTTTACGAACTCGTTTATCCCCCCATCAACCAGAGAGACAGAGATTTGTTTTGCCCGACGCGTGGTGCCAGCTACTCGGGGGGTGTACTCTTACTTGCTGGCCTGTATCGGCGGCGCAGTGCCGCAGACGGAGCAGATTTCGTGGCCCTCGGCCCGCTCTCCCTCTCGCGCGCAGCGCATTCTTATTTCCTTTTTATCGTTGCAGCACACCATCAACGGCGCAGACGGAGATTTCGTGGCGCCCTCGGCCCACTCTCGCGCGCAGCGCATTTTCTTTTCGTTGATCGTTGCAGCAGCCAGCACACTAAACACACCAGGCTCGTTGTGCGAGTATGTATGGGACACGATGTCTAAAAAGTTAACAACGAAGGCGCCCTCTCCATCACCCTCGCCCAGGGATCTACAATGCTGTCTTAAGGTCCGACAGGTTCGGCACCGGGCACCGCCTCGGTATACAAAATGCGCCTGCGGGCGGACCCTTACAGATCACAGATCACGAGAAGAGGTGCTACTATGCGCGGGTAGGATTGAGTCCTGTCACGGCGATCTGCTGAGGAAGGGGATCCTGGCCGAGGCTGCGCAGCTCGAGGCCACCAGCAAGAGGAAGCCGCGCTCGGATAAGGGCAAGCCGAGGGGTCCTCGGGGGCCCAGGGCCGACTCGGTGGAGACGGCGGCCCGCATGGGGGTGCTGTCGACCTTCTACCTCCGGCACGCTTATGGACGGGACAGCCCGTGGCTGCATGAAGAGGACGGGGTGCTCTCCGCGAATGGGGGGGTGCTGTGCGCGGGGTGCGGGGAGGAGGCGCCCGGGCTCGGGGCGCGGGACGGGAAAGGGGGAGGCGGCGGGGGGGGCGGCGTGGACGAGGAAAGGGGGGGCGTCGCGGGGGAGCGGGGGAGGAAGAGGGGGAGGGACCCGATTGAGGAGGAGGCGGTGGGTGTGATGGGTGGGGTGGAGGGGGGCGTGTTTGGGGAGATGGGGGACCGGAGGGGGCCGGGGGGTGGGGGTGGCGCGACCAGTGAGGCCGGGGGCGGGGGCAAGAGGCGAACCCCGCGGCGAAAGCGGCAGGCGGCGGGCATGAGGAGGGATGTGGGCGGGGCTTGAGGACGGACTCTGTGTGGGTGGGAGGAAGCTGACTGGAATACGGACTTTGTGTGTGTGTAGTACGTCTAACAAGTTACTATGTCTGAGCTCTCGCTCGGATAAGACCCCCCCCCCCGCCCCCCCCCCCGCCCCGCCCCGCCCCGCCCCGCCCCGCCCCGCCCCCCGTCCGCCCCAATCCCGCTAGGAGCAGTATACGCACCCCCCACTGCTTCCCGCAGGCGAGAAGGGACTCAACTCAAAACAATGGGCTCGCCCATACCGGAGTGGTTCGACTCCACGCAAACCCGGAGTGGTGAAGGGCTGGCCGTGCGGTGGTCTCAGGCCCAGTGAGGTAGTGCATCCGACGGCCCGGATCCTGCTGAACAAGTTCCTCTTGTAGCTCGATCGGTCACACCGCCATCGCCGACGGGGAGAGGGGGGACGACACTGCTTCGGCAGCGTGCACCTCGATCCTGTACCGTGTTTGTTAGGACCCCCCCCGATGAACACACCAGTGAGGGAGGGCGAGACGATCGAGGGGTCCCGTACCATGCGGAATCGACCCTATCCAGTGCTCAAGTGCTCAAGAAGAGGCGCTCTCAAAAAGTAAAATACGGTGTGGACCCTGAGTTGACCAGGGGTTGTGCGCTGGGCCCTCCTGCTCGGCTCCAGCCAGTAGACAAGTCTTGTCATCAACAGAGTAGAAGGATCTGACCTCGGGGCCGATGTGACCAAGCGCTGGTAGCGTGGTTTAACCTCAAACCCATGGTCTCACAGTGTGCCGGCAGTCGCCGAGCAGTGTCGCTCACACAAGCCGCAGCACAAGTGACTGAGGGCCAGTGAGGGCGAGCCCATCGCTGTCACAGCTGTGGCAGCCGCACAATAGGCTGTGTCAACTGTGCAGAGTGTGTGAGCAGCAGAGGAGCTGCTCTCCAGGCTTCTGTCGCAAAGAGCTGCATGCCACCGAAAGCGCTGTCGAGGTTGCAGGTTCGCCGAGCGCGGCGCAGGTTGAGGGAAGCCGCCACCGACGAGCGCGTTGGACTTTTCACTCCGGACAAAGACGGGGACACAGCGGACGGTGCGGGGTGTGTCCCCGTCATAGCGGCGAGGCGCGGGACCGTCTGTGGCGAAGTGGGACGCGTCCCTCGATTTCCTTGATCACGTCCGCTCCCTCTATGAGGGATTTTGACTCCTACCGGCTCCTGACGCTATTCCTGGCAGCTCTAATGGCCAGGATCAGTAGTGTTGTGATAGAGGGTGCCCATACTAGCGCAGGAGCTCCACACTCGCCCGGACCGTCCCCTTCTGGGGCCGGTTCCGCAGCCCGCGAGAGCCGACAGCGGGGCCGTGCCGCGGGTGCCTACTGCCGAGTGCCACAAACACTGCGCCGTCCCGCCATCACCTACAGGCTGTCATGTGTGATGGTTGGGATGTCCAAACGCCACCATCTTGGCTCTTGCGACCTCAAACCCGCGAGCTGTATGGGTGGTCCTGACGTCGACAGACGCCCGATGACCACGGTGAAGCTGAGCCGTAACGCGTCGACAAGTCTCGTCTGAGCCCGTGGCGGTCGCCGGCTGAGTCGCTGTGCACGGGCCGGTACCTCAGGCGTCACCTCCGTAGCCTCAGGTCTCACACTCCATCACCTCCGACGGGACGCCTTCGGTGGCACGCTCGGCGGCGAGTTTGTTGCAGCTCCACAGAGAGCACGGCGTCGAGCCTAGAGCCGTACTCACTCCAGTTGGTAAGGGCTAAGGCACACTCGGTGGGGTCCACTGAGTGTGCCGAACGCGCGAGCGGTGCGTCCTGGCAGCCCGCGCTGGCTGCGGAGCTGCAACAAACTCGAGACACGCTTTTTTGGGACATTTTCGACGCTTTTGTCCCATATCATAGCCATATCTGCCGGGAGGCGCATTTTGTAGGGCGTCCGCCAGCGCGCTGCGCCGCACACCCCGGCGCACAGGAGGCGGCGCCGGCCGCACCTCGGCCGCCTCGGCGTCGCCCGCGGCACGGGCGCCCTGCCCGCCGTCCGCGCGGTCCATCGCCGCATCCCCATCCCCGTCTGCGGCAGCGCCGCCTGCGCCCGCGCCGGCCTGCTGGTGGCCCGAGAATGCCCGAGGTGGGCCGAGATGGCGGCTGCCGGCGGTGGAGGGGGAGGAGTTGCGGCAGGAGGAGGAGGAGCCGCGGCTGCCCATCCGCTCGTCGAGCGTGAGGTGCGCCTGTTCACTCACCACTCACCATCCATTCGTTGTTCACTGATACGGCCAGCCACCCGCTCGTCGAGCGTGGAGGAGCGCCGCGTGCGCCGAGCCGCGGCTGCCACCGAGCCGCTCGTCCAGCGTCAGTTGGGCTGCGTGAGACGGGCCGCCGCTGGCGCCGCTGCCTGAGCGCGGTAGCGAGAGGCGCGACAGCGGTCCGGACCCACCCACAGACCCGCTGTCCCTGTCTCCGGCACTCATCGAGCCAAAGAGCGAGTCGAGCGTGCGGCCTGCTGCGCCGGCGGCGGCGCTGGGCGTGCCTGGAGGGCTCACCTGCACCGAGTTCTCGTCCACCTGACGCATTCCTTGTGAGTCAACTCCTCTACTCACTCCTCGCGACCCGCACCATCGAGTTCTCGCCCACCTGGGGAAGCCCCGTCCCACGCTGCCGGGCCGCACGCGCGCCCGAGCCGCGGACGCTGGCGCCGCCAGACAGCCGAGGCGGAGTGTCGGAGGATCCAGAGGCGCGGGAGGTGCGGCCAGAGCCGGTGCAGCCAGAGACGGAGGAGGAGGCCGATGACGCCGAGCAGCGCGCCGGCGTCAGCAGACGGTCGAGCGTGCGAGGCTCGGACCCTCTCTCTGCGTTGGCTCGCGCCGGAGGCGGTAGGTACGTGAAGGCGCCGCCGTCCGCCTCGAACATGAGGTCGAGTGTGTCGAGCGGAATGGCGCGCTCCGGCGGGGCCGAGGGACCGCCCTCTGCGGCCGACGCGGACTGCCCAGACAGCCGGTACTGGAAGCCTCCGCTCGGCGCCGCCTCGAACATCAGGTCGAGCGTGCGCAGCGCCGAGGCGCCGGAGAGCTGGCGAGCGTGACGGAGCCGTCGGAGCCGGCGTCCAGGCTCGCGCGCAGCGCACGTTTGGCCGACATGCCGCCGAGTCCTGCCCGAGTGAAAAAAAATCCTTGAGCTCGGGCTCTCCCGACATCAAAACAAACACCCCGGCACCTCGTGTCATGATTGCTCCGTCGGCCAAGAAGCAACCCCAACCCGCTTGGGGGACACAAAATGGTCAGCATCGCTTCACCGAACTCCGCTGAGCTGCGGGCCCCCCAAGAAGGAGGCCGGCAAGCGCAAGGGCGAAGCACAGCGCGAGGCGTGCCACAAGTACAACAGCGCGGCGGGATGTAACCGCGAGAAGTGCAAATTCGACCACCGCTGCACGAAGTGCGGCGAGAAGGGCCACGGCGCGAGCAGCTGCTCCAACTAGCCGGCCGCGCACCCGCGCGGGCACCGGCCATCCGGTGTGGGTGGGTGGGGCGAAAGGATCAGCCGACCGCGGTGCCACGCGGCGGCGAGTGCGAATTTATGCACACTCTTTATGATATCGTCTCTGTGTGTAGGTACCGAGGATGGGGGACCGGGAAGGTCCGGATGGGGGGACCTCAGAGGGGAGGGGGCGTGACGGAAGACTGGAGGGGGGGGCAAGCAGGAAGACGAAACGGGTGAGATCGCGGAATGGAGGAATGAACCGGATCAGACGGGATCAGCGCCAGTCGTAGCGGGCTTGGGTCATGCGTGTTCAGCTCTGTACACCCACGAGTTACTTTGACTTCTGCCCGGATAAAAAAGAAAGACAAAAAACTTGCCGCCCTCCCCTCCCCCGCCCCGCACGCGCCACAGGCACCCACACAGTCCCCGGCGCTCTGATATAGGTGATGCGGCGCTGTGTCTCTCAGATGGAAGCAGGAAGCTTCCATCCCGGCGGTGGTTCGAACCCACACGAGCCGAGGGGTGACGGGTTGAGGGCTGGTGTTGGTGACGAACGATGGCGGATCGAGCGGTGTGCAGGACGCGTTGAAGACCTCGACCTAAGGTACCATTTTACGGGTGGTTGTGTGTGTCATACGTGTGTGTGTGTGTGTGTGTGTGTGTGTGTGTGTGTGTGTGTGTGTGTGTGTGTGTGTGTGTGTGTGTGGCAGCTGGGCTTGCCTTGAGTGCGACAAATGGGTAGCTAACAGCCTTCTGGATGAAGGAGTCTTCTCCTCCCCAAAGCACTCGATCGACGTAGCAGTTGACAGCCTGCGAAAGGTTGTTGATCGTCTCGTATTGTGCAGGATCCCGCGCGCCTCTCCCCTGATTCAGGCCCTGAAGCTGAACGAACCAATCACTACAGCCGATCCTCGCAGCATATCTACATCTTGTCGAGCCACTCCTGCTTCTTCTGGTCAAACTCGGCCTGCGAGATGGCGCCCTTGTGGCTTGTGCCTTGAACTTAAGGACAGCTCCGTGGCCAAAATTCTTTCGCCCGCACGTGCCCCGGGCGTGCCCCGCCAGTCTGCCGTGGGGCCTCGGTTGAGATGACCTCGTGAGCGGCATGCTCCACGGTTTGGCTCCTTCCTGCTCGCGGCGAGCTCGACGGCGCAGCTCGTGGGCAAGGTCGCGCTCAGCCAGGCGGTGGTACTGCGGGCCTGAACGCCGGCTTCTTCACCTTCGCCGTCCTCACCCACGACAAGGCGCCTCCAGCACACCTGAGCTCGGCCCTCGCCACCTCCGCCCTCACCGCCTCCGTCCTCGCCAGCGCCTCCCTTGCCGCCTCCGTCCTCGCCGCCTCCGCCCTCACCGCCGTCGCCATCACATCACCGCCCTCGCCGCCACCCGCTCCTCCACCTACCTCACCACCTCTCCTCCCCCGCCCCTGCCAGCCGAACCTGCGGGTACCTGCATACCTGAGGGCACCTGAGGCTCAGCCCGCACTGCCTCCGCCCTCGCCACCACCGCCGCCGTCGCGAGATCCACCCCAGCCGCACCGAGGGCTCGGCGAAGAGCAGCGGCGCGCTCGGCTGCAAGCTGCAGCAGAGAGCGCCCCACCCGCCTCGATTGGGAGGGCTCAGCCGCGGGCCCAGGCGCCTCCTTCTCCTCCGCCTCCCCCCCTCCCGCCTCCCCCCCGGGACCGTGACGAGAAACCTTGCGTGTCAGCCGAGCTGAG